TCTTGGTCCTACCCCAGTGCTGTGTCTTGATGGACTGTAAGCTCAGGCTCTAATACATCTTTGTGACATTAGCAGACATTGGCATAGCAAAGAAGTCTGGGATTGTCCTCTCCCAACCACAGTGACTGTTAACATCCAGACCTACCTTAGCCCTAAGTAAAAGCTTGGGGGTAGACTAGCCTTTTTAGATAGCCCCTTGGTTTATGTAAACACACCTTTTGTGGGTTTGGAACAAGTCTGGGCTTAGACTGCTCTCTAGTGTCAAACCAGTAACAATATACCAACAGTGGACTTGAGGTAAACTGGACTTAGGGAGCCATCTAGTGGTAAAATAGCAGAAGTGACTACAGTTCAGAATAAAACAAAACAAAAAAACCTAATTATCAAATGTCCAGGTAGCATACACTAAATATCAAGAGCTTTCAAGAAACCATGACTTTATGTAATGGTCAAAATAAAGCACAGGAAACTGACTGGATAACACAATATGGGCAAACTCTTAGATGGAAAATTTTAAAACAACTGTTTTGAAGATTCTCAGTGAGCTTTAAGAAGAGACACAGAAAAAATTCAACACATGACAGGGAAATTTGCAGATGGAAGCAATTATTAAAACTCAAACAGAAATCCTTGAACTGAAAATTACACACAGAAAAAACAAAAACATAATAGAAGTTACCAACAGCAGGATAGATCAAACTGAAGAAAAAATCATTGAGCTCAAAGACAGCCTATTTGAAAATACATGATTATAGGAGAAAAAAGGAAAATGAATGAGAAGGAATAAAAAAGTCAATGGGAACTTTGGGACAGAACTAAAAGAGCAAATATACAGGCTCTTATTCATAGAGATAACAAAGCTATTCACAGAGATAATAACAGAAAATTTTCAAACCTAGAGAAGGATACAATATCTAAGCAGATTCAACTCAATCAAGTCAGATTATAATCAAAGCAGCAACAGAAAAAAAAAAAAAGCAAATAACACAGACAGGTGTCCCAATTCTCCTGATAGCAGATTTCTCCCCAGAAATCTCATGGGCCAGTGGAGAATGGCATGAGATTTTCATAGTACTGAAGGGAACAAACTGCAAATCTACAATTCTGTACCCAAAAAGCTATGCTTTAGAAATGTCTATAATAACTTTAAATGTAAATGTATTAAATTCTCCAATTTAAAAACAGTTACTGAATAGATGAAAAAAAGAAGACCCAACTATATGTTGTTTATGAGAAACTCACTTCACCTCCAAGGACATGTATGAACTAAAAATAAAGGGATGGAATATAATAGTCCATACATATAGAGTCCAAAAGAAATCAGAAGCTTACCTCAGATCAAACAGACTATAAGTGAGGCTTGCTCCACTGTTTAGTTGGTTAAAGTACATGTCTGATAAAAACAGACCTTAAATCAAAAGCAGTAGAGACAAGACTGGTCATTATATACTGATAAAAGGGCTAACTCAGCACAAAGAGATATGATTCTAAATATGTATTCACCCAATATTGGAATACCCAAATATTATTAGACCTAAAGGGAAATACATACTCTAAAACAATAATAGTAGGGAACTTTAGCATCCTACTTTTAGCAACAGACTGATCATTAAGACAGAAATCAACAAAGAAACAGCAGAGTTACATTGCACACAACACCAAATGGACCAAACTGAAATCTACAGAGCATTCCATCCAACAGCTGCAGAAAACACATTCTTCTCATCAGCACATGGAACATTCTCCAGTACGGACCATATGATAGCCCACAAAGTAAGTCTCAACAAATTTAAAAGAAATGATGCCATACTGAGTATCTTTTCTGACAACAGTAAAATAAAACTAGAAATCAGTAACACAAAAAAATCTTCAGAAATTATACGAAAACATAGAAATTAAACAACTTATTCTTGAACAGCCAGTAGATTAAGGGACAAAATAATAAATAGGTTAAAGATTTCTTTAAACAAATGAAAATGGATGTACAACATACCAAAACCTATGGAATACAGCAAAAGAATACAAAGAGGAAAGTGTATAGCAATTGACACCTATTTTGTTTAAAAAAAAACAGAAAGCTCTTAAATAAACAGCCTATTGCCAAATCTCAAAGAATCTAAAAAACAAAAACAAAGCAAAACTGAAATTAGTAGAAGGAATAAAGATCAGAGTGAAAATAAATGAAGTAAAGACAAAAATACAAAAGATTAATGAAACAAATTGCTCTCCCTTTCAAAAATGAAATGGAACTAATGTCAGTTCTTCAATTATTCTAGAAAATTGAAGAGGACAGAAGTTATCCAAAAATATTCTACAAGGCATGGACTACTATTCAGCCATAAAGAGAATGAAACCCTTGGCATCTGTGATAAAATGGATGGAACTGATCATTACATTAAGATCAAATAAGCCAGGCATGGAAGGACAAGTTAGGTTACCAAAATCCACTAAGGATCCAACAAGTAAGGAAAATTGCATCAATATCTTTGATAAACAAAGGCACAAAAATCCTTAACAAAATACTAGCAAGCTGAATTCAACAGCACATGAAACAGATTATCTTCTATGATCAATTGGGATTCATCTCAGGGCTATAAGAATGCTTCAACACAGGTAAATCAATAAATGAGGTATACGACATCAACATAATGAAAGAAAAATCTATATAAATCAAGAACTGTGGTATATAATAGCAACATAATGAAAAACAAATCTATATGACCAGCTCAATAAATTCAGAAAGGGCATTTGATAAAATTCAACATTCCTTTATGATAAAAATACTGAACAAATCAGGCATAAAAGGGATGTATCTTGTTGTACTAACTGCCACTTATAATAAGACAACAGCTAACATTATACTGAATGGAAAAAAGCTGAAAGCTGTATCTCTAAGATCTGAAACAAGACAAGGATGTCTACTTTTTTCCATTTTATTCAATAAAGTACTGGGAATCTGAGACAAAGCAATCAGGCAAGAGAAAGAAGAAGTCACTGTACATAGATGACATGATATTTATACAAATAAAATCCCAAAGACTCCCTCAAAAATTATTAGAACCAATAAATGAATTTAGTAAAGTTGTAGGATACAAAATCCTACTTTTTTCCATTTTATTCAATAAAGTACTGGGAATCTGAGACAAAGCAATCAGGCAAGAGAAAGAAGTCACTGTACATAGATGACATGATATTTATACATATAAAATCCCAAAGACTCCCTCAAAAATTATTAGAACCAATAAATGAATTTAGTAAAGTTGTAGGATACAAAATCAATATTAAAAAATCAGCAAGCATTGCTATACACTAACAGTGAATTATCTGAAATTGAAATCAAGAAAGCAATCCCACTTGTAATAATTATAAAAAATAAAATATCTACAAATAAATTTATCCCAAGATGTAACAGATCTGTACAAAGAAAACTCTATAAAACATCAATGAAAGAAACTGAAGAGGACACAAAAAAATGGACCAAGATCCTAAAAGCATAGGAAGCAAAACTGGACTACATCAAACTAAAAAGCTTCTGCAAAGCAAATGAAACAATAATCAGAGTGAAGAGTTGACCTACGGAATGGACAAGATGTTTTCAAATTATACCTCTGACAAAGGATCGATATCCAGAATGTATGAGGAACTAAAAAACCCAATAGCAAAAAACAAAGTAATCCAATTAAAAAGTAGTTAACAGACCTACATGGACATTTCTCAAAAGAAGACAGATAAATGGCCACAAGATATATGAAAAATATGTTCAACACCATTAATCACCAGGGAAATGCAAATTAAAACCACAATGAGATGGTACCTCACCCCAGCAATAAGGGCTGTTGTCAAAAGACTACAAAGGTAACAAGGGCTGGTAAGGTTGTAGAGAAAAGGGAACCGCTGCACACTGTTAGTAGGAATGTCAAGTAGAACAGCCAGTGCAGAAAACAGCAAGGAAGTTCCCTAAAAAGACTAAAAGTGACCACGTGAGCCGGCAATCTCATCACTGGGCATTTATACAAAGGAGGCGAAAACAGTTTTGTAAAAAACAAAATCTGCATTCCAGGTCCCCTGTAGCACTGTTAACATTAATTACTAAGAGATGCAAACAACCTAAGTGGCTATCAACTGATGAATGGATAAGAAAAATATAATAAGCATATAGAATGGAATACTATTCACCTATAAAAAGAATGAAACCCTGTCATCTGTGATAAAATTAATGGAACTGGAGATCATTACATTAAGTCAAATAAGCCTGACATAGAATGACAAGTATCACATGATCTCACTCATAAGTGGAATCAAACACAACTGGTCTCCTAGAATCTGAGCACAGAAGTGGTTACAGAGGCCAGGGAGAGCAGAAGAGAGGGAAGGAGAAAGCAAGATTGATCAAAGGGTGTAAGTTACAGTTAAACAGGAGTAAGAAGGGCTGGATGCTATTACACGGTAGTGTGACTACAGATGACAATAATATACAATATATAATCCAAATTATTAGAAGAAAAGACTTTGAATGTTTTCACCATAAAAACTGATAAATGTCTGAGGAGACAGATAGCTTCAACCTGACTTAAATATGATGTATCCATGTATTGAAACATCACCTGATATGCTGTTAATATGTACAATTTTTTATGTTTTCATGTATCAATTTAAAAATAAATTTCATTAATAAATAATAACTATTAGAAAAGAATAAATGGAAATATATCAGTTCATATTTTTAAAAGAATTTAGCCACATGTAAAAATCTTCATTTCAATGACATGATCACATGCTCACTCTGAAACAGAATATAGTGTAGTAAAGAGAGTGAAGCACACTTTAGAAAGGTAAATATGTATCCCTAAGAATAACAAGTCCCCTACGCCTTTTGGCTGCGATTCTCAGAACAGAGACCTTCCCTTTAGGGAACTGGAAAGGCTGGGGACGAAGAAAGAAAACAGTAAGGAAGCTAGAAGAAATAAGGGAGGAAAGTGGATTCTCTTTCAAGAACCTACCGTTCCATCCCCACCGCAGGCCAGAATTCGCAGATTTGGAACTTTCCTATACAGCTCCAGCCTGTAGAAGAAAAAGAAGAAGCAGTGAACAAAGGGACACTTCACTTCTTAGGACAAAATGTAGGGAGGGGTCCCTTGGAGAAGCTGTATCATCACAAGCATGACAGTATCATCAAAGCCAGTATTTGCAGAACCACAAGTAGACTGACTCCAACAATGGATCAGAGACTGGTAGAAAGCATTACTTTTAAACGAATGGGGTTTTGGGGTGCCCTAGAGTCTTAATTCTCATGATTCCAATTATTGTGTCAGCACACATTTTTCTCTTTAGTGTCTGACTTCCTTTCTTCTTTTTCTTTTCCCATAATTCTCTTCTCTCCTTTCTTAGAGAAAACCATCATTAATTGGTAATCAACAGCCCTTATGTGTCTCCTCCCTGCATTCCATTCATTTTTTCTGGATCTATTTATTTTTCAAACCCCTACTTAACTGCTCTTAATTCTAATCTTTTTCAGAGAAATGGAGAGGCTTCCCCACTATCATTGCTACCATATCCACATAACTGTGCTTCAACTCACTCATTCACAGCCTGACCTGTACTCCCAGTGCCAAGTGGGAGAAATTTACAGACAATTCTTTTCTTGGAGTTCGCCTGTTTGAGGTTAGATCATCTTACCTTTCCTGTTCTTTCTTAAGAAAATGTAGTGATGCTTCCTCTGTTAGAATTCTTGCCTCATTGGAGCTGTTAAAGGCTCAGCTCTAGAAAAATCACCTATTTAAATAAAGTAATGCCTGTTCTGGAAATATGTCCTGTCCTGCCATGCTTTTGATGAAGCACCTACCTAAGGTCAAACTAAAGTGATAAAATCTTATGAAAAGTAAAATCTAAAAGGACACAAACCAGAGTAGCAAATTTGCCTTAGCACAACCAAACAGAAAAAATATATAGAGAGAAGTCCTACAGCAAACTCTAGTGGCAAAAAAATTCATAAATTTCAATGTAGAAATTCAAGTTTCATAGTTGATGTCCTCTTGCAAGCTTAAAATACTTAGTTTATCCATTTCACACAGGATTACTATTTTGCTACAAATCATATGAGTTAACATCTCTTTGCCCTTAATATAGATAGCTATTTATTAAAAAAGGACTGCTATCCTTTACGTTCAAACACTTATCAGCTAACATCAGAACTATCCTGATAGATGGATTTAAAACAAGGAGTCAAACAATAGCAGATGTGCCCCTGCTCTTTCCTACCAGGTAGGCTCACCTATGACTGGACTTAACTGTTAATGCTTCTAACAAAAACAGAGAATGGGATTTCTGAGAAACTCAGAAAAGGATAAGAACAGGAATTACAATATTTCCCCTGTACCAATGTGGAGTCCATATGTAAAACCAATTAATCAGCCAATACCTGCTCTCAAATTCACACACGTGCACACACACAATTCCTCCAAATCAATGTTCACAAATTAATATAGCTATCCCGAGATAAACGTACATTCTTGTTAATGTGACTCTCCAAAGTTACGCATGTAAATACAAAACAATGAGTTCTTTCCCAACGCACAGACTTTCTGTGAATAATCTACAGGTGTACCTTCACAGGCAGCAAACACTCTAGAAGTGTGTACTGAGACAGCAATGGAGAAGATAACGTTTTGAAGGAAACTAGCTCAATGACAAGTAGGAGAGAAAGTTAGATAAAGTTTCAAGAAGAAAATGCAGGCAAGAAAGCAGATGAGACACAAGCAGAACACTGTTCACCAGGTCATCAAATAACAGGTCTTGACCCCATATCAGAAAGTCTTCTCTTGCCCAAAATATATATGGGGCGTGGAGGGTATCTCCAGACTTACGCATCTTTGGGCCCCTCCTGAGAAAGATCAAAGACTTGCCGTGGATTTAGGTACCACATGAACATCTGCAGGACTTTGGTTCCCTGTAAAGGGAAAAAAAATGACAATAATGGGGAAATTTTCCCAATATTAAGAAACAAAAAGGGACTTGCGATGTAGTTCAGTGGTAGTGTGCTTGCCTAACATGCACAAGGAATTTGGTTCAACCAATACCACAAAAAAAATTGTTAAAAAGAAATCAGTTTATTTACAATAATATTCAATTATTAATAGTAAAGTAATCAACATTGTGAGTTTTGACCATAGATAGACACAGAGTGAATGTCCAGGTGAGATGTTTGTCTAAGCTGTGTAACCGTGGGTACATTTCTTAATATAACAAAGCTCAGTTGCCCTTCTACTCAATATGGAGATAAGAATGCCTCGTTCAAGGTATGTTAAAAAGGCTAAATACATGTTGGAGGAACGCCACAGCACTTGACATACAATACATGCTTGGTGAATAGTATTTATCAGTTTTATCATCAGTACCTAATGTGTGAAAATCCATACAGGGAAGTTGTTAACAGACCTATAATTTTAACATTAATTTTTACTTTATTGCGCAGACTATTGTTGTCTCTGTAAAATATAAAATATGGGCGATATGAGCCATGCACAATTTTATTAAATACTTTTTCTAAATGAAGCAAAAGTGTAGCTGTTATTTCTATATAACATGTAAAACTTTACCTAGTTAGTAAGATCACAGCTTACTTCCACACTTATCAATCTACTTGCCTGTATCAGCTTACATCGAGCCTTCTCTCTCACGTGAGCATTTTTGGACTGCTTTAAGTAACTGTGACACTTATAGAGATGATCATTACCACAGACAAAAGGGAGTTTTGTAGATCATTTCTTAAAGCAAGAAGAAGTGAATGAAAGATCTTTTTATTAATTGTTACCAAAATGGCTTTAAAATTGAGTAGGATGCCTCACTTTATCAACCATAGTAGATAATATTTGACAAGTTAAACACAGTTTGTCACTTTTAATATCTTTCCTTTAGTAACTATCATGTTCATTCTTTCCTAAAATATCCCTAAATTTGCATATCCAATATGCTGTCTTTAAGAATCATGCTGGTATATCAGAAACACCATGAGGTTTGAGTCAGAACTTGGGTGTTCTAACTTGTGATCAGGAGCACTTGGGTCTTGCAGAAAGGCAATATATAAACCAGAAGGGATGGTACCTCTCCAGGGTGATTATGTGAATTAAATGAAGCAGTACAAGTTTGTACCCAGCACAGTATGTGGCATAAAATAAACCTTTGTGAGTGTTGGTCCCTTTCTTTTTGCTTTTTTTGCTCATCTACTCAGTAAATTACACTTGATGGTGTGAGGGCTACGTGTGCTTTGTAATTATCACATTGGTACGCCAGTTGTTAAGGAGGCCCTTGCAGGTCTTTTGTTTCACGTATCACCCAAACCTATAATCCAAAAGTTCTACCTTATCATGTGCTTGCTATAATTTTAGGGATCACACTCTATCCTTAATTATTACAACTAATCCTTCCGTTTCACCAAATGACATATTTTACTTCCTGTCAAATGCAAACATGGCTTTAGAGACATTACACTAAATAGACAATTATTTTCTTTCTTCCCAGCTGCTAGGCCTTGCTACCTCGTGTTTTCAGGATTACTTCAATAATCTTTTGTATGTAATAGGGAACATCAGAGTCATTTTAATGGCCAATCAATTTATAGAACATATCCAGCTGACTTGTTAGAAACTTCATTTTCCAGTTTTAGGTTCCTAAAGCAGTGTGAATTGTGGATGTTAATTATTCCTTCCCACCTTTGCTAGGCACATCCCAATTTCAGCTTCTCCTTTTATGCATACAATATGAGGTAATTAATGCCTTTCAAAAAATAAAAATAAAAAACAATGGGAGGCTATTTTCCTTCCACGAAAATTTTTCTAAACGATTTGAGCAGCTGCCCGGTTTCAGTTTTGCTCATTTTCAGTTGGTGTTGGTTGAACACTCATTATCTCAACGTCTCCTGGGAGGGAGGGATATTAACGGAGCCTGGCAAGTTTTCACTACACACCTCTGGAAGATGCCATTCCCACTGGGGACTGTCAGGCTGATGCCCCTGGTCCTGGCAGGAAAAACTTGCATAGCTGTGCTTGGCTACCAATCAGAACTGACATCCAGGCATGATATAATTACTTCTTTTTAAAAGTAATCTTTCTAAACGATGATATTCATTAGGAAAAACTGTAAGTGTCTGAATGAAAGCATTAAAAAAAATAAAAGAATCCAGTGGGTAGAGGAACAGAAGGTCTAACTCACACATTTAAGTGAATTCAATTAACTCTCCCACTACCCCTAGGATAAGCTACGTTAGGGCTTTAATAGAAGTAATTCATTGAGTAGAACTGAATGGTCTGACAAATACTAATTCACTGGGGAAAGGGTAATTTGTTTCTTCCTCAGTGGCAGGATTAAATCTTTACAATCATTCACACAACTGTCACTGAGGAGCAAGTCTCAAGCGCATGTTATGTGTCACATGCCACACGCCAAACACAACACAAAGCCACAACTTCTACATAAGAGTTGTTTCCCTGAGTGAAAAAAATAGCTTCACATGAATTTCAATACCAGCTCTAGATATAATACCTCATTGACCAGAGAATATTATTTTTAGATATTATGGGATCGGGTATTCCTCAGGAGTCAGAAAACAGTAGTGTTTCCAGCCCTGGGTTTTGAAAAAGAAGGAAGCTACAGGAAAATGCAACTTTCTGAAAACAAGTAGGTTCTTCTAGAGGGAAGGAATGAGAGTCGTTTATTCCCCTATTGTGTGCCTGGCAGTGGTAGGTGGGAGAATGGAATAAGGAACCAGGCAGAGATCATTTGCTCTCAGAAGGATATTTTACACATTATTCATAGAGAAAAACATTATAAAAATGATTTGGGGTCATGGAGATGCAATTAACATGTCAGCTCACACAGCACATCAATCTTCATTACTGCTGGAACATTCTGCTCCATGAGTTGTTCACATCATGGAGGCCTGATCTACATTGTGGAAAAGACAACTGTCCAGACAACAAGCAAGCTGGCAGAAAGGGGGAGAAAGAGCTTAAGAAATAAGCTCCACCCAATCCCAAAAGAATCCATCATTTATTCAACAAGTGTGAATTAGGTTCTTGCTCTTTGTCCACACATATTCTCAGGAGCTCAGAGTCTACTGGAAAGAGACCAATACCAAATACACTAATTCACTGAAGATGCTTTGATAGAGAGACCCAATAAGAAGCATGAGTGCCCTGAGGAGTTATTATCTAAAGACAAGTTTGAAGATTAGATGAACGCATCCCAGGTGTGATACCTGAGTCATTTCTTGAAAGAGGAGTAGAGTTAAGCATCTTTTTCCATATAGTGCACCAGAATAAGTTCCAGGGTGAAGACATAAGAGGTGTGAAAGAGCAGGACATACTATGGAAAAACTACATTCTGTGAAGCTTTATGAACCATGAGACAGAGAGTGATAGAAGAGAAAATGGCTATAGTGCGTTGTAGACTGAGTTCTGTATGCTAAAAGACCTGGGCTTTATTTTGCGGGAAACAGAGTCTCTGAGATGTTCTAATCAGGGGAGCTAGCCTGGCATTTTGATGCATCACTATCCCAGCTACAGACAAGCAGGTTTTGGACCCATCAAAAGAGCTGGATGGGTTGGTTTATGTCCCAGCTGCCCCCTTTTTCTTTTCTGACTTAGAAAAAGGGACTTTACACTGAATAATGGCTTAGTTTTTTTCAGTCCCATCTGTTGAGGATATTTTAACAAGAAGATCTTGAAATAAGAATTTAGCACACAGCCTAACTGCCCCCTTTGCTCTCTCCCCAGCCTACTCTAAACTGTTAGAGCCAAACTTCTATCTAAAGAATGATTTTTTGAATTTATTCCCAACTTAAAACATCTCCAGTATCACAAAAGATAACTTCTGGGCTGGAGTGTAGCTAAAGCAGTAGCACATCTGCCTAACAAGTGTGAGGCTCTAAGTTCAAAAATCCATTACTAAAAAAATAATTTGGGGACTCAATTTTCTCATTGAAGTCATTTATTTATATCTGCCCCTTCTCTCTGCCTTGGTGTCACTGGCCCCTGACTTAGCACCCTAGTCTGGGAACACCTGCTCACAAATAATAATGTGGGAGCTCATTCAACACGAGCCTGTCCACAGGCTAGACACCTCTTCCTCTCATCTTCTTACTGAGTGGATCTGGGAGCTTGGTCCAGGGATCCATGTTCTGCTGCACCTCCACCCTGGAACTGCACATTGAACAGTGTGAGGAGTCAGGGTCTGGGGTCCCTCGACTCTCAAACTAGTTAGCTAGAACCATTCCAGTGGTCGGAACATTGGTTTGACCTTGAGTTTATAATCAAGTAATCTAGAAAGTTACTTGGGAACCTTCTATATTCTCAAGTCAAGGGAGAACATAACAAAGAAACAGTGTGAAAGCTGGGAACACAAGAGATCTGAAGGGTTGGCAAGACAGACAGAATGATGGGTCATGGCATAGAAGAGGAATAGTATTTTGAAGTAGATGGGTACGGTAGTACACTCCTGTAATTCCAGCACTAAGGAAGCTGAGGCAGGAGGATCATGAGTTTGAGACTAGGCTGGGATACAGAGTGAAACTTGTTTCAAAAAACATAAAAAGAAGTAGGGGGGAGATGGCTAGTTCTTTAGTCCTCCAGGATTTCCACAGGGGAGGGAGACTGTGTTGAGGCAAACTCGTTCTTTTACCTACTGCCTCACTTCTGCCAAGGGAGTAAACGGAAGCTGATATTTTAGTCCCCATTCTCAGTGCCTGTTTCCATGAATAATTTAGATCCCAACAGTCACAGCAGCACGACCATCATCTTATCTTAACCTTTGCAAGACACCAGTGTCATCTCTGCCTCCAGAGTGCTGGAAAAACAGAGACCACTATTGTGAGGTTTAAAAGAAGGAATTACCCAAAAATCCACTGCTTAAAATAAGGGAATTAGAAGTCGTCCTTGTGTATGTTTATCTCAATATATATACTTTAAAAATGCTGAAATTCCTTACATGTAAAATTGTGTGAAGGGGAAAATCTGCAGGTATTTTTCCTGCCAGTAGATGGCAATCGTGTCTAGTTACTTAAAAAAAAAAAAAAAGACTAAAGCAAGTTAAAAAGAAAAAAAGTTTAAAACCTAAGTTTTACAGAGGGGATGAAAGGTTAAGTGTTTTATATCTAAAAGCAGGTGACTGGAATAAGTAAATTATTAAAAATCAAAATCCAGAATATAACCAAAATTGTTACAGGAAGGCCTTGCTAATCAGAGAAAGAGGTTCGCCCTCCAGGCAGAGGCAGGAGCCCCACCTAGAGTGTGTGGGCAATATGAGAGTCTAGCCAGGAGATTCAGGGTGTCCCTGATGTATTGAAGCAGAATATGCCCCTTAACAGGATCCCCAGCAAATCCTGTGCTCAGCAAATTTAACCATGTTCCTCCCTTCTCTATTAAAAAACCAAAACATTTGAAAAACCTAAAGTACTTTAAACACCAAAAACCTAGTTTCTACTGCACAAATCCAAAATCCTCAGCCAGGTTTTCAAAACACTTTTCCAAGGGCTCATTCTAATCTTTATCTAGTCACATTTCCATTCACGTTCCATCCACCATATTGTCCTGAAAATCCATGATTTCCATCATGACATTTGTTCTTGTACTCATATTGTTCACCGTACCATTCTTGGTTTACTTTGTACCCTACACTAGAAATCAAACATTCAAAGGCAGCCCTGTCACCATGGAGCCTCTATCCTGACAGTACAGCCACAGAGAGCACATTTATTGACACTCACTTAATCCAGGTTGTCCCAAGGTCTATTGGAGTATAGTAGAGGCAGTGATTACTTTTGAGAAATGGTTCAGAAAGGAGCTATGAGCCTGGAATGATGACTAGGAATCTGCCATCCCCGCAAAGGACAGGGTGTTCCTCTGGTCTTCCATCCCCCACAAAACCAAGTAGTTCCCTCTTCAATTTCAGCCACTTTTATGACACCATTTCCTTACTACCTGCAGTCCAATTTAGAACTCACATACAGGGCTAGTGGAATGGCTCAAATGGTAGAGTGCCTGCCTACAAGCATGAGGCCCTGAGTTCAAGCCTCAGTGACATTAAAAAAAAAATGTTCTTAGAACTCACATACAGCAAATGTCACTTGAATTAATCTTCTCATTGACCCCTTTTGTGTTATTAACAAACAAGATGTCCATAGAAAATTCCCTGAAGCTTCCTTAACTCGTTTTCTATTTAGTGAACTAGGAAGCAGCATCAGGAAGTCTCTAAAGTCCCTGCCATGAATAATTTATTCAGGGATTGGGACAGAAACAGGTTGTATCTCAATTGGATTGTCAGCTCCCTAAAGGCAGGGATAACTTAGAAGCTTCTGTGTGTCCTAGGGAAAAAGCTTAGAATGATTTAGTGAATACATTTTATTTATGAACTCTTGCGATAAAATATATTTGATTCTTTCACCTGGATGGTCAAAATCATGGACCCAATTATTCTCACTGTTCTCTGCTCCATGGTACCCAAACATACCTAGCCTTGGATAAGCTATAGGAAGGCCAGCCCAAGGGTGGGTATTCTCCAGGGCAAACTGAACCTTGTTACCCAGAAACTCATTCCTAGGTGCTTCTCTGCTGACAGTCAGAATCACCATCACTGCAACATGAAGGGTACCTCTCAGCAACACAAAACCACCAGATGTTGAAAACAGACTGTTTCTTTGCTTACAACACATTTTCTCTATACTACTAATAAACATTTTTAACATTGTAAGTTATCAAGAATATTTAAGAAAGAAAAGAGGGGTATTTCCTTTAAATCTTGAGTTCTCCTAAAAGAAGCTTTATTGTACCGAATGCATTCTGGAAAATACATTTTATCTTTGGACACTGGGTTAATCTTAATTATATGACATCTTTCCTGACAAGAGATGGCTACAGAGTTTCAATTCTCTACATGTTTACTGTGAAACTTTGAAGAATCTTGCCTCAAATGTAAAATGTACAATTCATAGATAGAAAAAATATTCAGCATCCAAATTCATACAAAAATAACAGAAAACCAAAGCCCACAGAAGAGTATTAACAAGAAGCCTTGAAGAATGGGAAGAATTGGATGAAAAGACAAAGAACTGGATTCTAGAAGAAATTCAGTCTTATAGACCATGGTCACTTCAAGTATGCCAACAAGCTTAACTTTTGTAAGGATATTTCTTTACTTTCAAACAATGTAAATATTGACTACTAAAGGACTCAGGCAAGAACCAAATGAAATCTTTTCGAAGCTAGGATTTTCTCCTTTTTCTTTTTTTTTTTTTTTTTTGTGGCACTGAGGTTTGAACTCAGCCTCACGCTTACTAGACACACACTCTTGCCACTTGAGTCACTGTGCCAGTGAAGCTGGTATTTTCTACAGCCTTGGTGGTATTTGTTAATGACTTTTGTGACACATATGTCATTGATCTTCATGTTCTCTGAGGACAGGATAAGAGTAGTTGGGTCTAAATTACAAAAGGTAATAAAGATAAGTTGGTAAAGCGATTCCTAAGAATTGAGAATCCCTGAAACATACTAAGAGAGATTCGGGAATGATCTTCCCTGAGAGTCCGAAAATAGTTAAGTGTTTGAGGGTTTTCGTTCAGTTTTGTGTGGAAATAGAGGGATAAATTGTAGAATCTCTAAGTTTTGCTGAGCCCAGTGGAGGTACCAATATCCTTGTCCTGAAAAGCTTCTAATGGTTGGACTCCTACAGGTGCTATTTATCAGTGCTGTGAATTGTGTTTTCAAGAAATCATCAAATGTTGTAAGTTAAACTCGTAAAAAATGGCTCACCTGGTTGCCTCCACTCTTGGGGTTCACAAACACAAGCAAGGGTTTCATGAGAGGAGAAGAGATAGGTTTTATCACAAAAGGACGACCTTTGTTTTCCTGCTGAAGGAAGCAAGCAGCAATGTTAGGACATACATTGATTGAAAGCAATCCCAAAGCAAAAGAAAACATCACCTAGCCCCCCACCACACACACACACACACACACACACACACACACACACACACACACACACACAAAACTGTATCTTGTTTTGCAATACTGACTCTTTATAGGACAACTCACAGATAGCTGGGAAAAAAAAGTATCCCAAACTATAATTTGCTCCAGAGAATTGAGCTATGCTTTTGATTTCACTCTATAAATTCTAGAAATGTTAGCTTTCATCTTCACCCTAAATCCTCTTCATCATCATCATCATCATCATCTTTGGGGTATCATTTCCAGGCAAGGGCAAATGGTCTGACTACAAAGGACAGAGGTTTCATTGATTGACTGATTGATTTGAAAAAGAGTTCAGGTGTGACAGGGTACAGTGAAGAGGAAAAGAGTGGCAGGAGATATATCAGAAAAATAAGCTTGTGCCAAATACTTAGGACAGAGTAGTCTATGCAAAAGAAGAACCTAACACAAACTTACTTCAGTTCCTCTTTTACTGGCTTTTCTTTTAAAGCTTGTTCTCTTCTTCTTCCGATTTGAAGCCTTCAGGGAGTTCTGTAGGGAAAAAAGGAAAGGCCTGAGCTCAGAGGCAGACAGCCCAGGAGTTTCCATGCAGAACCATGTAGCTGACTCAGCGCATGCTATCGACTGCATGCTTTTCATGCTTTGACACTTCCAAGCCACTCTCATGGGTAAGCCACAGACAGAAACCAGTTGAGTGCTTCAGAGTGAGCAACTGACTCCCCACCACACGGAGGGCAGGGAGTAAGAGCCCAGAGGCTCTCATGGACTCACATAACAACACATGTTATACCTGCCAACCCTCCCAGTAAAAATGGAAGAATCCCAAATTCTCTGAGGGGCTCCAGTCTCCCGCCCAACCAGGTCCGTCTCCCGCCCAACCAAGTTCAAGTTCATCTCCTGGTATGGAGATCACCTATGTGGAAATGTAAAAAAGGAGGCCATTTTTCATGTTTTTCTTTTCATCTTTTCCTTTCTTCTATTTTTTTTCTCTGTTCACTTTTTTTTAAATGGTCTGTTCTAGTAATAGTCATAAAATGAATCTTAACCCCAGTGGAACTTCACAATCTGTCCTAACAGCATTTGCTGTCTAACTTTTTAAATGTAGACTCACCTTAAGTTACCTATAATGGGGGGTGGCCATTGTTCTTTCTTTCCCTGTCTAAAGGCCCATTGGTTTAAAAAGTCTTTCCTTATAGTAGAATTCTTCTTCTCATGGAAGTGCCTCAAACTTGTTAAAATATAGTGACCCTTAAAATTACTTTCTTTTCCCAGGGATTTTATGAACCACAACTTTGGAATTAACTCAACTAACCATTTCCTTAGTATTTTCTAGAGAAAACTTCTTAGAGAACAGTCACAACTTACTGGTTGAAGACAAGACAAAATCAGATTTAATTAGTGGACTCAATAATTAATTAGACTGCAGCTTCACAAAGGCAAGATAGTACTGACCATATAATAGATGTTTTGACCAAGTGTTGAAAGCCTGAAATGCAGAATTCTTAGCTTAGTAGTTTATATAAAAATATGCACTTGCATTGTTTGAGCAGTTCAAAGTTTTCAAAACAGTTTGAAGAAATCTGAATATCTAATCTTTGACTTGTTAGAGTATTATTTTTCATAGAGCATTCAAAATAAAATTTAGTCTACATTACATATATTAGTGCATCAATATGAACCATATCCAAACTACTTAGATGTTATTTTACTTTGACTTGGCATTTGTAGCCTGTGCTCACCAAGGATAAAGGAAAGATTCAAGAACCACCATGTGTCACCAGGTTTTCTTTCCCCATCAGATTAAAAGAAAGCATGTCTTCAGGACCTCAGAGTCTCTCCAGAAGAGAAATTCAGAAGCTCATGGGTGCTCTCAACCACAGGACACTCCCCAACTCCCACTGAAAATAGATCTCCAACTTCCTAAATTTCTGGGTTAAGTGGATCTTTTATCATGTCCTTGTCTCTCCTCCATTGAAAGTATATGCTGTATTTTGATAAATTTCAGTTTGTATAAAAAGGGAAGAAAGTGATCTGGAGTCTTTAAAAGTTTAATCAACCTCATAGTGCAAGAAAAATGCTGGAAACTATTAGTCTGTCAGAAGAAGTATCTATTCACTGTCAATTAATGGTGCTCTAAGTGTTTCTCACCCATCATTACACATTAGCCTCACTGGGAGAGCTTCTGACCCCATTCAAATATTCTTATTTAATCCACTTGGGGTAAAGCCCAAGATAGATATAAAGCTCCCCAGGTGGTTCTATCATGTAGCTAGGGCTGAGAATTTTGGTTTGAAATAGAAAAGAGAAAACATAAGGCATTGTGTAGACTATGGTAAGGCAAAAAATGGATAGGAGGAAGCATGAGCCTAATAAACTTAGCACGAATCCTGAATCTCCTTGTTACTAGATATGTGACCTTGTCCAAGTCAGTCAAATGTTTGCAATAACATTCTCTTAATTTTAAAAGGAAGTGGTAATACCTACCTCACAGGACAGTTGTGAAGTTTAAACGAGAAAAAGTATGTGAAGCAGTTAGCTTGGTATCCATCTCATGACATGCATTTCAGAAAATGTTAGTTTCTTTGTTCACAGCTGTATGGCTATACATCTAGGCAAATGCTTGGTACAGGGAATGCACTGAAATTATTTCTGAAGCAATGAATAAATATTGTTATAACTCACAGTACTTCCTGAGTACTTGGATAGTAGGCTCAGGAAGTGAAAGCTTATCTTATAATGTTTTTTTGTAGTTTTAGCTCACTTACTGCCAAGAGCAATGCAGGGTGTCCACTGCTAACAGGAACACACTATGGACCTTGTTTCTTGATAGGACGGACAATTAAACTCTCAGAGTTTACCGGATCAGGCCAAGACTTTAAACAAGTTTCTTGAACTTGTCTGATCATAGAATTCACAGTATTTCAGGTGATTTTGATGACCAAACAAATTTGGGAAACATAAGAGTTAGAAAAACACATCGAAATGAGGGCTGATATCTGAAAACAGAGCAGGCAAGGAACTCAACTCCAACAGGGAACAGACACACAAACGGCCTTTTTTAACAGACATAGCAAATACAAGTGCTCTTAGCCTCGCTAAGACAAATGCATAGAGGCTTTCTTCACTTCACAGAACGAGATGGGGCAAAGACCAAGCACAGTGGTTGACTTACAGTACCTGGGCACGTCTATGTGAGCTCTGAGTAAGCTTACAGTCCTATGGATGGTCAAACAGTAGCAGTAAGTAGCCTGGAATTTCCTGGCACACTTCACAGTTCTGAGGCTTCCTTCTATTTGTGTATAAATATATGCATCTGTCTGGATATATTACTTCATTTAGAAGGCAGCATGGTTCAATGAGGAACAGGTGGTATGAAGGCAGATTTCGGATGCATTTTGGCCATGACAAGATAAGTCATCTATCCTCGCTAACATACAATGTCACTGCCCTGCCTGGGTCAATCTTGTTGAACAAGTCAAAAAGCAGTGTGCTTTTCAAGAATGTAAGAGTTATGCCAAGAAGATACTGTGAGGACTTGTTGATGATAGAGTCAAGAAACCTTTCATACTTGTCTGATATTCCAAAACAAAGCTATTACATCAAGGGCAGCCAGCTCAGTGACTCAAAAGGTTCCCTTGGCAAGATCAACATGACCCAAACAACTGTTTTTGTATTCTGATTTAAACAGCAGTTGTCCCCTGTGCATTCTGCACCCGCTCTTTTGTAAAAGACCTAAGAAAAGATAAAGGCCTTTTGTTTTCTTAGACCAGGTATCAGGGTAATCTTACCTTGCCACAGAAGTAATCCTATCAACAAAACCCTATCGTAGTTATGACTCCTTCCTGGGCTGTTAAGAAATACTTATGGATGAATCACTCAACTGTGAATGAAACTTTAGCTCTTATTGCTCATGAGAGATTTCTCTAGGTTATGGCATCACAAATGGCTGGTTGCAATAACAGGTCTAAACACAAAATATACATCACTTTATTCTCCCAAAGGAAGTCTCCCCCCACACCACCCCTAATACACTGGACAGAACTCTGACAGGTAGTAGGAAAAAGACATAAGCTTTGTGAATTGAAAAGTACTCTCACTACCTACTCCAGCTGCCCCACTGGAACAAAGTTAGTTCTGAGGATGGGCAAGCAGATGAATAAAGAAAACTCATCCCAAAAATTAAAGGACAAGGTCTCATAAGCTCCAAGAAGCCATACTTGGCTAAATCACAAGTACTAATCAAATGTTAGAATTCACTAAAGCAAATAGCTTAGGCAATTTTTGAGTGATATTGTTAGTCATCGCATAAAATTAGCTATTATATTTCATAGGTCTCAAGCAATTTAAGATTATCCAATCATAAGAGATTTTTAAGAAAATAAAGAATAGCATGAACAAAGCTTATTCAAGGCTAGGAAAAAATGAAGAAATTATTATTTATAAGAAAAACATAGAACAATATAAACATCCATCAGTAAGGAAATAAACAGATAAATAAACTGAGCTATAATCCATAGTATGGGCTATACAGAGTACTTTAAAATGATTTACGTCTATATGTTTTATAGATTTAAAGTCTATACATTTTTCCCCAAGATTTAGTTTTTTTATGGGGCAAATTCTTTTTTTTTTTTTGAATTTTTATTTTTATTTTTTTTATTCATATGTGCATACAATGTTTGGGTCATTTCTCCTTATGGGGTAAATTCTAAAGCATTGTGGGTAGAATGGTGTCACTTATTAAAAACACACAATCCTATGCTCTCTACTGTTCTATATATTTTCCTTTTTTTGTGGTTCTACGTATTTTCTAAAGGTACATTTCTATGTATTTAAATTCATAGTAAAAATTCCACATAAATTTATAATGGAGAAGATAAGGGAGATGCTTATAATTTTAAATATTGGTGAAAGGGAACTTTTTTACCTAAAAGATTGTTTTATAAGGAAAATATACAAATATTACTCATTACAAGCTAAAAACTAAATTTAAAGACTAAGTACTACCGTCTTTTCAAAGAAACCATATTGTTCCAATTCAGTCCTATGAAGTTCCAATGGACTCTACTCAGGGAAGGAGGAGTATCTATTTTATTGTCTTCCTTGAAAACTATGGAAACCCTTTGAGATTATTGGGAAAGTCACAAACAGTGATAGCTTAGAAAGCCAGTGACTCAAGAGCAAAATTTGTTTTCAAAATGTGTCCTGTCCGATGATGCCTACCTTCTGAGAAAGCTTTCTCACCCTTGTCTTGTATAACTTGACCTTATAGAAAACTCAAATAACACAGGTCTAACTCCATCAGCTCCAAGACTATGAACTGTTGTGGAGTACCTTTAACATTGTTTATCCAATCAAAATATTGTCTTCTAATACTTTTAGTCCAGAGAGGAGACACTGACAGCTATGACTTTATAACTTGGATTTCAAATATGTCAACAGATTCAGGTTTGACTCTTAAAATTTGGTTTTCTTTGCACTTTAATTCCTTAAAATCATGTTCCTTACATACTCTTTTAACTTTTAGTGAGTAACTTCTTACTCTCTATAAGTAATTTAATGATGAAACCCAGAAAAACACCCAGGAGCCCTCATTCCCCCCAGCACTAAGGTTTCACACAGCTCCCAATTCTACAGCTACTCAAGGGGTCACGACCTACTCCAAGCCAGCCCTTAACCAGGGAGGGAAAATATGTGATTTAATTTCATCTCTTTATAAACCACTTTTTCATGCCCCCTTATCTGAACTTTTACTTTCTGTAGTTTCAGTCATCCATGGTCTGAAAATATTAAATGGAAAATTCCAGAAAAATACTTCCTATTTTTTATATTACTTTTATTATAGTATATGGTTACAGTTATTCTATTTCATATTACTAATTTTGTTAATCTCTTATTTATGTAATTTATAAAGTGAAACTACATAGGAGTATATGTATAGGAAAAAACAGTAAGTATAGGGTTTGGTACTAGTCATAGTTTCAGGTACATATAGAATATCTTGGAAGGTATCTCCTTGGACTTTATCCTATGGGGAATTACTGTATAATCAAATGGATTTCATTTGCTCCTCCTCTCTGGAGTTATTTGTTTAAACACAAACATCCAAATAAAGATGAATTTATTTGATGATCCATCTTCAACTGCTCTCAATGTTCTGTCGATTTGCATTGCCCTTCACCACCTTTCTTCTCAATAACACTACCCATATTCTCCAAGGCCAAATATGCCTATCATATTTTCCATCTAGTCTAAATTGATTCCCGTGACTTAAATTGCTCACTCTTGCTTCATATTTCCACTGTGTTTCTACATCCTAGGTAGCACTTACCACTGTCCAGTTTGGATATATACAGTTATTTATTGACCATGGATGAACAAACATGTCTGGTACCTTGCTTTCCCTATCCTATGTTTATCCTTCCCAAAGATGCATACTTTTAAGATATTAGAAGACCACTCTTCTATTAAGGACATATATCTGGCTGAATTCCTCTTCCAGAATCCACAAATATTCTGCCCAGTGATTTAGTTATATCTATGTTCTCCATAGGGAGTATATTCTTTGTGTAAAAAGACCTCATCTTTAGATCTCACACTGAATATAACAGTATCTTTGAATTATTACCAATGAAGTAAATACTTATTTAAAAAGATGTTTCCTTTACCATTTATGTTTTGAAGAAGTATATACATACTCACACACACACACACACACAAACTCTCAAAGGTGGAAAAACATTTTAGAACACTATATTCCATTTACCTTCCAAATTCTCTTTTTTAAGCACTCTTCAATGTCTCTAATGAATTATCCCACGTCACTACCTTCAAGTCACTGCTAACAACTTGCCACCCATGTTCCATACTCTACACACTATAGTTTTGACAGCCAACCATTTCCATAACCACAAACTTAAGAAGTTTTCTCAATTCCTGTTATTTTTTAAATGTCTATGGAATTTAACATTGAAGGCCACTATATTTTTCTTTCATTTGTAATAATGAAACTATTCTAACATAGTTCTCTCCCTATTTTTCAAGATTCTCTTCTTCTTTAACTAAGTCATCTTACATACTATTGTTAGGTTTTCCTTCCAAAACACTATTTTTACTCTATTATTCCTTTGTGAATAAGTAAACCCACTACTTCAGGATAAAGTCTGCATGTGTCAACAATTCCTCAGTCAGTCCTGAGTAACCTCTTGCTCAACTCCTACATGTTCCTCTTCATAAACCTTTCAAGTTAGTCAAACTTGGTTCACAGGTCCAGAAACGCAAATTTGGACCTCGTGCCCTTGCCTGTAACATTGTACTGCCTGCTACTCTTTGTCTTCTCCCACTGATCTAAATCTCTTCCATCTTTTAAAACCCACCTCCTCATAACACTCCCCTAACCTCTCCTTAACATATCTCCAAGGCTCTTCAGAGCAAGGGTTGTATGTTGTATCACAGTGTCTATTAGACCCTACTAGACTACTAGACAATCTAAGTTTTCAATGAATAGATTTTGATTTAACTGAATGAACATATAATATGATATCAAGCCTTGGAGAGATTGCTAAATTGTAGAAAAAAATGGAAACAGAGAAGTACAAACGTTAGAGATATTGAAAATAAAGGTTGGAATTCAGCACACTTGAATTTCAGACAGCAGTATGTATATGTAATTTGTCCCATCATCTTTGGCAACTCATTTAACAGAATATTGACTTCTGGTTCTATGAAAGATTAGTTTCATTTTGCTTTTTAAGAAGTAGAAGCTATACTTGCCTCTGGGAAAATCTCCCAAGGGTTTCCATCAATAATTACTTGGGAAAGTTATTGCCATACATTACTCATCAACAAAGGCTAACCTTTATATAGAACACATAAAGTAAAACTATCCCTGGTCAACTAGTTTTTAAATAAAACTGAGTCAATAAGAATAAATCACAAGATGATTTTAGAAGCCACAGGAAGTGGTGGCCGTGTCTTTTAAAGAGATTACATTCAATAAGACATCCTAAAGTATCTGTATCCTAGGGAGATCTCTCTCCTTATAGCACTAACGTCTGCCATCTCATAACTCAGAGCTAACTGTTTAGGATGTACAATACAAAGGAAGAAACATTTTCTATCAAGGATTATGACCTTGTTGAGAAACCACTCTGGTTCCCTCCTAATAATGAAGTAGAGACTCTCTAGGACAGGAAGTATACTGAGGAGAATACAGAATGAAATTAGGTACTAAGAGAATAGATTCTGCTTTTTCTAAAGACGAGTGTTGCTCTCTAAGCAGACTGTGTAGGTAGGAAGGTCGTGACTTACAGTCTGCCTTTCAGGTTGGGAGTGGCAGATACCTTAACCAAACCATGAAACCTTCCCAGCCTGTCCTCAATTGACTCCCTGGGGATGCCCAGGCTGGAAGAGAAGAGAGTGGTATAAGAATCCACTGTACCTATCACTAGTGCTTAGTGAAACTCAAAAGAGGTATTATCAAAGAGAGTATCATTAGCACATGGATGGAGAGGAAATATTCTGGCCCTGGAATTCTGATTTCATGAGGATGGGAAGGTTGGTGCCATGAGAGAGCCCGATGTGGTCAAGTGATGGGCTCATGGGATGAATTTGATAGCTAAGCATGGGGACCTTGGGGATGAGTAAGCAGAGGTTGTAGGAAGCAAAAGACTAGTCAAAGGAAGTAAAGCAAGTCACAGCAGTCATTTTTTTTTTCTTCTGCACTGGCCCAGCAGCACCAGGATCCTGGCAGTTACCTGAGGTTTCTTCACCTTAATGATCCAGGTGGGCGGGACAATGACAGCAGCATGAGCTCCCAGGGAGCAGGGTTCTTCGATGTGATGCAGCATGAAGCAGGTCACCTTGTTGTGAAACTGAAGGGGAAAAAAACAGGTTAATAAGCTACTCTATGCAAGTGGCATTGCTGCCCCAGAAGCTCAAGAAACCAGACATCTAGTTTACTCTAGCATACAGACTTAAAATTGCTAACAAAATACACATAGCAGGTCAAGGTTTCTAAACATTTAATAGAATATCTACATAAAGACATATGACACTTGGAAGATTGTATTAATGCTAACTTGACCTACAATTGTTGCCATTGACTTGTGCTATTCACAGACTTGGTTGATTGAGGATAATATTGAAAAGAAAATGAAAACAAGCAGAAAGGCAGGGTCTACCTCCTGTCTCTCCTTTTTCTGTCACTGATGTAAATTCTCCTGGGTTCTTTCCTGTTTAAGGAAGCCAGGGAGGAAACAGGTTGTCTCTTCTAGGAAGTTGTTAATCCCAGAGGTAACAAAGTCAAAGACATTGCTTCTGCTGGGTTTGTCTCGACCCTTTAAAAATCTTGTCAAGTGTGAAGTGGTATTTTGTTTTGAAATGAAGAAAGTAAAGTTAGGCTAATAATCATAAGTATACCCTGACAAGAGGGGCTTAACTCAAGACCCACTGTGAGGCTGGAACTGGTGACCTTAGTCCAGTCAAGTTGCTAATCATCTTTTGACTATAAAGTGATAACAATGTTTGTGACATCTGTTTTCTAATAAACATAAAATCAACAGTATGCAATAATTAGGGGCCTTAAATTTTAATCACAGTGATTTTTAAAATTTACTACTTGGATCCTACTTATTGTGACCATGTAATTTATCATTTTAGCTGGAACAATTTAAAAGCTAACGGGATCAGTAATAATAATTATGTTGGAACAACAGACATTAATTAGGACTGTCTCAGGAAAACTGGCAAATATGGCCACTCTAATTTTACTATGTGACATCAGAGGTACTTTGTTTTTATTTCTCCGTATCTTTAAGATCTGCCTGGATCCAGTGTCTAGTTACTAGTCAGTCAATTAAGGATTAAATACTCCCTGCCAGCAGTTATTTGTGATCTGCAAACAAATATACTAGAAGAAGATCATATCAGAAGAGTATTATTTGAACACCTCCTTTTATAATTGGTTTTCTTTTTAACAATTCAAACAAGCCTCAATGCATGCCCACTGCACTTCTAAAATGGGAAAGATTTCAGGACTGCCTAAGCCAGTTTCTCAATGTCCACTTGAGTAATCTCTAATATCTAGAGGCAAATTCAAGATTGCACAGCTTTTAAGTGAAGGAGTCAAGACCTTCATACAGGAAATCCAGTTCTCTGACCCAGGACTCTCCTGTACCGTAGAAGCTTACTTGTTTATTTGTTGTTTAACATTAAATATCCTAGAAGAAATTACTTGCACTGTTAAAACATATCACTACTTAGTAAAATAAAAGGACCGCAGTCCAAGCCAGCCTGGACAAAGAGAACACCCTATCTCCAATCTAACCAGAGTAAAAAGGGATAGAGGTATGGCTCAAGTGGTAGAGCACTTGCCTAGCAAGTGTGAAGCCCTGAGTTAAAACTCCAGGACCACCAAAAGAAATGAACACACTTTGAATTTACAATCCTTGCAAAATCAATATGGGAAACTAGGGAATTAAAACACATACAGAATTAACTGAAGTTCTGGCACAATGGTCAGGTGCAGGGTCAGTCTTTGTAGTGACTCGATTGGACTATAGATTAATGAAGGAACACACATGTTCACAGTAAAGTGGGGTTGAGTTTCCAAATTAACAGACCCTGGATAAACCAACTGACTCCAGCCTAGAAGCTACATGGTGGGAGTAGCAGCAGCCTATCTAGGCAAATACGCCCATGATGCCATCCCACCTGTGAGGTCTCACCAGGTCAGGGAAATTATCAGCATGGATATTATTAGGGATCCCTGAACACCAATCAGCTTCTTCCCAGATGGAGGTACTGCTTTGCTGACATAGTTTAACTCAAATATTAGAATGGCCTTATATTTATGGATATGCTTTTGAACAGAAGCACAAAGTTATACAACGACATTTAACTGAAAGACAATGGAAAGGTGGAGAATACAAAATGCAGCAGGATGGTGATAGCAAGCACTGAACTTTCTAGACCAACGGAATAGTAACAGTAGGTTTTCTTGACATGCGGGTGCCTAAGGAAATGATTCTAGGGAGACTATAAGGTTGGACCTTATGGAATTACCATAATGCAAATGGTTTTAACCCTCAAAAATGTCAACTGTAGAGCCACGTCTATAATCCCAGCTATTTGGGAGGTGGAGATCAGGAGGACTGTGTTTCCAGGCCAGTCTAAGTAAAAAGTTAGGGAGATACCCTCTCAACATTTCAACAAACAAGCTGGGCATGGTGGCAAATGAGAGGCAGGAGTAGGAAGACAGCGATACAAGGTCAGTCCTAGCAACACGCATAAGATCTCGTCTGAAGGATCTCAAGTATAAGGCCAGCCTGGGCTACAGAGTCAGATCCTGTCTCCAGAAAGAAAAAAAGAAAGAGAAGGAGAGGAGAGGGAAGTACAGGGAAGGAAGGGAGGGAGGGAGAGAGGGAGGGAGAGAGGGAGGGAGGGAGGGAGGGAGGAAAGAAGGAAGGAAGGAAGGAAGGAAGGAAGGAAGGAAGGATAGATTGAAAGATTTGAGCAGAGATTAGCAAACTTTTTCTGTAAACACCTAGGTGGTAAGTATTTTAGGCTTGTGCATTTATCTGTCTATATTACAATTACTCAAATTTCATTACAGTATGAAAATAGCTGGACAATACATGAATACAAAAACAGCCATAGATAACACAGCATGGCTGTGTTTCAGTAAAACTTTATTTATAAAAATATTTGGCAGCCATATTTGGCCCTAGGTACCATCATTTGCCAACTCCTGAGTTAGAGGAAAAGAAAGAACAGGTTCACAGGCAAACAAATAAGAAAATGCAGCATGCTGTTTGGACAGAGGGGTTAGGTGCTTCAAAAGTCTGGGGGGAGATATAGATAGAAGAAGGGGGAGAAGTATAAATGTTCAAACGAGTACATGTGTTCAAATGAAAGAAGGGCTTCATTTCAATGAGTATATGTACAATGACAACAACATCCAAGCCCAAAGGCCACAGAGCACTCACTCTGTACACTTGGCCCCATAGTGAGATGCCTGGACCTTAGACTAGTGGCTCTCTTGTGGTACGGTCCTTCCTTCTTAATGTTGCACCTTCCTACCATATAGTCCAGTGGAGAGATAAGGACTGTGGTGATTTAGGAGTCAAACATCCTTGCCTCCATCCCAGAGTGAGAACCAGGAGAGGATTTTCCAGCCTTTGATCCCAGGCTTCAATGCATACAAAAGGAATGGGTGAGTTTATCCCTATGGGTTCCCCCAGCTCATATCTGCTGTTGTACTATGGTTTTACTGTGTCTTTCTCCCTCAAGGATCCTATATGAGAAAAGTAATATGCTCAACTGGGATAACATTCCACTTATAGACAGGAACTCAAGCATTAACATGTTTATTTTGATAACACGTGAGCACACATTGCTTTATTTTATTCCAACTTACCGCCTGCTTGCACCAGGAACAGCTGATGGCCACGATCTCTTTACTGTGGAAGGAGAACTTTTGCTGGAAGCCCTGGGATATTAGGACAAGATACAGGAATTTAAAACCACAGTGAGTACAGCCTGCATTGGCCCTCCTGAAGTTCACCGAAGTGAAAAACGCCAGAATTGCCACCCATGACTGTAATAACCAACACTGTAAGTGCCACATTCAGCTCTGTGCTCTCCACTATCATGCACTAATCTTCTGTTTCTGAACCATCTGGGGTGTAAGAGGACACACTGGTGTTTCCTACACTGCCTACTTCTCTAAGTCAGCCACACAAAAAGAAGAGCTTCTAAAAATGAGTGTATGTGTTATATATTTTTATTATAAGCAAAAGAAAAGTCATTATTGGTTCATCTGATCCTGTAAAACAATGGTCACATATGTCAGAAGCTCTATTCAACTTTAGTATCTGAGAATCCAGAAAGAGAGAAATTAAATATCGGAGAGACAGTAGCTAGGGGTCAAGGTCTGGGAGAAGTCCAAGGGTATAGAAGTAAATTCAAACATGTTTATCATTCCCTTAGGATGTCTGCTTTCCAAACAAGCAGCAGCTTTCCACTTTTATTCCTCACCAGCAAGCAGTGAAGAAATCAATGGAACTGCAAAAACAATCCCCTTAAATGAACAAGCAGAATGGCACTTCTATCAAGAATGGAAGAGGTGATAATAGCTGGTGCTATTATTTAAGAATAATTACCAAAGAGAAGTATGCAGTAATGCTCAAAGAATCTTTTCCCAAAGCCAGCTATTTCCTTCTGCCTATGAAATCTAAATCCAAACAGACAAATGTAAAATACTGGCAATTTTTTTGTAAGTAGGGCTTTTGTAAGGTGGTCAAAAGAAAACAAAAAACGTGATGGGCATGAAAGTTACTGAAGGCACTGGCTAAATAAGTCTTGTTTTAGGAGTACAGACAATGTAAGCGAAAACCCAATTACCATGTTAATGGAATGATGCTCAATGGTAGTGCCCATTGTCCCTGCCAACCTGCTCCCTTGATATACTCTTGATCACCTCCCCCTTTCCATCCTCTCTCCTCTCTTGATTCCCTGCCATACCATCCTCCTTCTCCTTCTACCTCCCATCTCCTGCATGTGGACATTGGTCCAGTCATCTATCTACTGTAATTCCTCCTCTACTCCTCTTTGCCCCACCCCAAAACATCACTTACAAAAACATGACTTCTTAATGTCAGACTCTATTACATTGGAACAATTTCTTCAACAACTTGTTTTTCTCAACAGCTTCACTTAGAAAAGACTTAGCATAGCAAGCCTGAGATTCCCATCCTTAGAAATGATGCTTGCAAGATCAGCCCTTGGTTGGCGTCCGGGAACTTGGACTTCAGGGTTTCCTGAATATCCAGTACAGCTAAAATGGCTCACTGCGCCTCACCTGTTTATACAAACAGTATGCTTTGTGCTGAACACCTGCTTTGCTTCCTAGAGCCTGGAATTCTGGGTTGTGCTATGCAGAAGGTGCTTATGGGAACAGGCCCCAATCAAACCCTGGGCACTGAGTTGCTATTGAGACTGATAGACAATAGTTCACAACTCACTACTTTAGGAATCCAGTGTGTCTTATATGACTCCACTGGGAGTTGGTGCCTGGTGTCTTCCAGACTTCACCCATGCACTTTTGTCTTTGCTGACTTTATCTTGTGTCCTGTATCATGATAAACCATAGGTGTGAGTACTAAGCCCTGCAAGTCCTCCTAATGAAGTCATTGAACCTAAGGTGATCTTGGGGATCCATGACACAGGCTTTCTCCACCTAGAAAATGGATTCTGCTGTGCCTCCTTCTGTCATGACAGTGTCTCTTCGCCAGGAAAGGATTTCACCCCGATGCATGTGGACCAGAGTTCAATACTAATAACCACTGCCATGGTGGGCAACCACCCAACAGTCTCCAGTGCCTCAGAGTTACAACCACCTAACAGGAAGAACTTACAGATAGGACACAAAGTCTAATGTGCCACAGGATTAGGGATACAGTCCTTTGCAAAGATGATGCCAAACTGTTCAATATGAAATAAGATGGCCCCAAAGAGGCAGAAATGACTTCATATTGCAGATATACTTGAAAATGTTCCTTATCATCCCTGAAGCCACTGTTGAGGGAATAATAAATGAGATTGACAATCTCATCGATTTTTGATACTACATGAAGGAACAAGCAGCTAAGAGCAAGTATACTGGAGCTGGCTTGGGACTAAGCACACCCTGCATCCCCAGTCCAGTCAGGCATCCAGTGGTGTCATCTGGAGCTCTGCTCCTCTTTCTAACTTGTCTCTCCCTTGAGAGTCTTTCCCTTTTGTTCTTCAATGCCACCAGCTGCAGTGATGCCTTTTCATTTTTTGCCTCCAGGAACTCAAAAGACTTAAATGACACTCCTTTCCTCACAGATCAACAGAATAAACTCTTCATATAGGCATTTGAATCATCCATAAGCTTCCCAAGCATTTTGACATCAATCCTCTGCTCCTTTCCAGTATAAATGCTTATCTATAAATTATATTTCACAAAATTCTCTCGTTTTTTATTTCAATATTTTGCCGCATGCTGTTTCCTCATTCTTAACCCAGCATCTAGAAAGTCTTCCACAATTTCATATGTAGTATCTAAATTTTACTTCCACTACAAAAACTACAAAATTCTCCAAGTTACCCCAGCTCAATGATCACTTCTCCCCAACTATGAGCCTTTACCACCTGTACTTCACTTACTATGCATATGGATTATCTCTCCAATGGAATTTTAAGGCTGTTGAAGGTAGTCCCTGTACAGTTCTTACCAACTTAGCTTTGTTCTTTAAACATAAGCACAACATACATATTTTCTTTTAATTAAATGAGAAAGTTACTGCCATTACCTCATGACCCAGATACAAACTTCCTGCTGTCCAGACATTAAATAACTCACCCAAGCCACCTGAAAACATGCCTCCTCACAGCACCCTTCTCTAGCTGAAAAAAAAAAAACCCTCCAACCACTTTGGACACAGTAAACATGTTAGGATTCTAAATTTCACTTGGAGTGTGTAATATTAAAATGCTGTGTAGCTAAAAATCAATATGATGTACTGTGAGGCATGATAGTAGCAGTAGCCACAATGAGAAGTCTGCTGAATGTTGTGGTTCAAAGTATATTAAGAGTCTTCAGTGCTATTATCCAGGAACCATTCCACCAACTTGTACATGAGATGCTCGTACATCAAATAGAAGCCAAGGAATGATAGCAAGGCTTAGAATGGTTCTTGGATTTACAGATTGGCTGGTGATCTTAGGCAAATTATTTAACTCTTCTAATTTCTTCCTATACCTGAAAATGGGAGTGACACAAACCTCTCCAACACCACCAGGTGGTTATAAACATCAGATGAGGCAGGTATTCAAGAGGTCTTTAAAATACCGTGTGTGTGTGTGTGTGTGTGTGTGTGTGTGTGTGTACAACACATAGTATGCATAGTATGCATACATATGAAAGAATACTTTTATTGCTAGAATGTATCAACAGAAACCTCTCCTACTACCTTGCTGAAGAACCCTTCTGGTGTCTAATATGTGACTTCATGGTACTCTATTCAATAGTAAAGGTTGATGAATTCAACTGTACCCTTCCACTGAGTATTGGCCTCTGGCTTCAGGGAGAAAACAAATGGGATGCACTCTGGTGCTGACAGTCAGGCTAATAACAGAAACAAACACCAAGGCCAAGTACAACTGGGGAGCTGGGCATAGTGCTAATGCAGAATTGTGGTAGGACCCTTGAAAATGAGCCTGGTGGTAAGCAGCTCAGTACTTTGGGATTCTAGTCTGGCACAGCCACAACCACCATGGCTTCCAGACTATTATGTAACACTGACAAAAAATAGAACCATCTCAGAGTTTTCATGGACTAAGTTCCCACAGACCACCTGCTAGGGAGAAATTTTGGCCAGGCTCTTAAGTGCAGTAAAAAGAACCAGATCCTAATCACCCATGTTTAAATGCTGGCCCAAATCTGCTATTATGGTACTGACAGATGCCCTGACTGAATTTCAAATGACTCGATGATTTTTAAGAGCTATTTTGTTCAGTTCTATCAAAGAGGAAAATAAGGATGTAAGGCCAGATGCCTTGACTCCAACTGACTTCAGAATTTAAAATATCAAGAACATTACAGGACAAGGTCACTCTTTTGGTTCTTTGGGGTTTTTTCAACCAAATTGAGCCTTTGGAATAAAGTTTAAAGGAAACTTATTCTGAGCAAGTAAAACTCCGTTGTCTCTCTTTCTTCTGCAATATAGGGCATGTATCAAATGGCACTCAACTTTACAACCTTGGCTGAAGCCAGAAAAAAAGGGACTTTACATGAAATGAGCTGAAATTATTTTATTGTTTCTGTAAGTAACTGAGGTTTGAGGGGGAGGAAACTCTTGACCATGGGCTGATCCTACGATTTGATTCAATTCAACAACAGTGGAAACTTGCCTCCAAAACTTAACAAGAAAATAAGCTTCTCCAATATCCACCAGCATGGTCAAGGTTCATGAAGTGTTACAAAGGCCAAAACCAACAGAATTATTAAAAAAGACTCAGTTTGACTCCATTAAAATTTATCTTAAGAAAGATAATTTTAGGGCTGGTGGAGTGGCTCAAGTGGTGGAGTACCTGCCTAGCAAGTGTGAAGTTATAAATACACACTTATACACATTTTTATGTATCATCTCTAAAATGTTTATCCTAAATTGAGATGCAAAGTTCATAATTTGTAGCAAAACAAGACCAAAATTTTAAAATGAAACTGCTATGCCATCTTTTAACTCTATCTTATGGGATAGAAATACCATAGTGATTTGGTACTCACTAATGTAAAAGAAAAAATTTCTTCTTTGAACAAGACTCTGCTAGATTTCAAAGAATTTTTTTAATGCAACCACTTTCAAGCAACTGAAGATAGCAAATAACCAAGACCTTCAAATGACGTTGATGCAGACTCACACCAAACTAACTATAAACTCTTTTCTGACCAATAGGAAATGG